CAAATATCATCCGAGAAATGGTTTTTCTGTTTGGATCACGTTGTCGAGTGTGTTCAAAGTTGTTGCGAATTCTTCTCCCAAATGTGTGCAGATAATCCTTTGTGTCTGATTAAACTGCATTACACAATCAAAAAAATGCGCAGCTCCCACCCTTTTGGCTCTCCTGACTCTGCTGCGTCTCGTTGCGCCAAACAGTTGCTCAAGAACATTTGATAGAATTTAAAAGAATCTTAGACCAAGGTATGATGTCACTTTTCAACCATCGTATCACAAGTTAGATTTGTGCTCCATCCCAGGGCCCTGTGACTTCCCTTGTCCTGCAGGAGACATTAATCATACACACATGATTCACAAAAAAGCGCACACAAGCCTAGACACACACATAGACACTAACAAACACACACAAACACAGCGTCCATCCCCCTGTAATCCCCTGATTTTCCTCTCCTCTATACTTTGAGCTTTTCTGTTTTCATTGTAGTCATGGGCGGTGACTCATCGCACGTCTCAACCAAACTATTCGTGTTGGTTCACACTGGCTGACACACCTATAGTAGGACCAGGAAACACACCCATCCCCTCATATCCTAGAATTCACTTGCAGCGGCCTGTCTTAAAGCTGTGACAGGCGTGGATGGCCGAATCATCAGGGACGTCAGGTTTACAGGATGTTTCTTTGAACAATAATTGCACAATACCGTACACAGTAGTTCTCACATAGAGGAAAAAAAACTGTCAGATCTGAAAAGCTCTCTCTCATGAGACGTGGAACGCCTTAAGCTAAAATTCAAGTCTGATTTAGACTGACTCATGGCTGTGGAACTTGTCCTGACCTTGATTTCCTGTTGTTAATTATATACACATAATAAACATAGTCAGACTGAACTTTGGTACCAACAAACTGAGTGGAAGACAACTTCAAAAAACACATGCATGTCATTGACTCAAAAACAACAAGCATGTGTGTAAGCTCTACTGTCTTCTTTATTGGTTATCGATAATAAATTAAGTTTAAAGTCCAGTGTTAAATGTCGGAGAAGCAAAGTGAAAGTGTGAGGCCGTGTTCTACAGCAGTGAGGAGCACAACACCCAGCAGGGAGGGTGCTTACTTAGAGTGTGTTATGTGACCGTAAACATTCAAAACCTGTAGAAAAGTTGTTGAGCAGCACACAGTTAGGAGTGGAGTCATGCTGTTTACATGTGCACATTTTCACAGGAGTTGTCTGTCTGGAGGCGATGAGCGCTCTGTGCTGCAACCGTTCTTCAAAGCCAACAACAGCCACACCTCAGCGGCAAAAAAAAAAAAAAAAAAAAAAAAAAAATCAACATTTGAGAAGCTGAGCAAACAGGTGCAGTAGCTGGTCATTTTCTGTCAGGAGGATAATAATCAACCCCGCGCTGACGCTGCCAGGCGTTGCTGTAGCCTGCGGTTTCAATTTTAAAGAAAAAGAAGGAATTTTGTAAATGTCAACAACGTAGAGTCCAAAATGAAGGTGAAACTTCAAACGTCAGGAGTGTTGATCAAAAACACTGCTGCAGTACAAAGATCAATGTAATGTCACACTTCATACAGAGATCTTTAGGTTTACTGCTTATCTTACACATAGTTGGAATCACTGTGTAGCTTTTATCTCAGTGCGCACACACACACACACACACACATACACACAAGCATCGAGCTGCTCCCACCACTCCCTAACATACATGTGTGTACACACGTATAAGTGTGTACGTCTGCCTGTGTGTGCATGGGCCACACCCTGTTCTCTTCACAGCCTCATGGCCGTGCAAGCACTTCCTCCGTTGCTCTCTCTCTCTCTCTCTCTCTCTCAGTGTTGAGTCATGGAGTGTGTGGGTGCGACCTGTGAATGAGGTGGTGGTCAGGGCCAGCGGTGCTTCAAGGACGCTGAACTCTGGTGTGAGAGCTGCACACATGTCCACGCTCACATACATGTTCCACATGGCTCTCCAGTTGTAGTTTGAATGGTATTTATTGGCAAAGAAATGTGTGTGTGTGTGTGTGTGTGTGTCACCCATACATTGAGGTGAGCGCTGCAAACGGGCGTAGCTTTAAAAAGAATTTACCATGACGAGACTCGCACACAGGCTATGTAGTGAAAAGTCGGTTTTCTGCTTTTGTATTACGCCAGTGGTTTCCAAAGTAGGGGGCAGGACCCTCTGTAGGGCATGTTCTCCTCATGTGTGCATGGGTTTTCTCCACTGTCAAAAAAGGACTGGGTTAATTAGACCCAAAATTGACCATAGTCAAGAATAGGATTGTTAATGTGTACTATCTACAGAATAAGAAAGAATAACTTACAGATAATTTAAAATATGTGTACAGAGTCCACACAACTGAACCAATAATAAAAAAAATGTTTAGGTATAAATTGAATTGAATGTATCCGATATAAGGTTATTTTAAGCAATCAAAAATTATGGTAAAGTTATGGACGTACTAAAAATAGCTCAGAATGCTGTATTAGAGTCCAAGTGTTGGAGATCGTTAGTTTAAATCATTAGTAGAGGTGAGTTTAGGAATCAGGAAGAATGGCTTCAGGCCTTTTACACATCACATATTTGGACCATTCGTCATAGGAAATGCGTGAATTACTGAATCAGTAATCGCAGAATTTTTAGTTATGTTTTTCTGACTAGTTTCTTGTTCTGTTTATGGTCTTAACACAGACTGTGGAGCAGAAACAGACACAGTGACACAGTTCCAGCCCTGGAGGTTTTGGAAATATACACCATATTCACTCACTCCATAATGGAGTTAGTAGGAAGTGAGCTTTTAATGTTGTTAGTAAAGTTAATTAAACACTAAATGATTTAGATCTTATTTCAGTTTTATAAATGACATTTCTGTTCGTTACATCCATCTCTATCATTCTGGATTTTTGTTTTGGTCTTAGCCAGGAATCCCAGATGCTCCTTTCCCAAGCCACTTTCACCATTCACTCTGGGAGAATGAGTCGGCTGAGCGAGGCAATCTCTCCAGCGTGTCCTCAGTCTGCCCTGGGGTTTCCTCCCAGATGGGCATACCCAAATTATCTCCCTAAGGAGGAATCTGGGAAGCATCCTGACCAGATGCCTTCAGTGGAGGACCACTGACTCTATTTTAGGCCTTTCTCCTCGCTCTGACTGGTTCATGATTGTCTTCTCTCAGTTATGACCCACAGCTGACTGGTACAGCTGATGTACAGTAGGTCCAGTCTGCAAAGTACTGCAGTATTAGTCTACTTTGGTCAGTACATATTGATATACGGTGACAGATGGATTAGATGAAATAACCAGACACCTTAAGAGTAGTTTTCAGTTTATGATGCAATATTTGAAAACCCATAACATGTCAATTACTGACCAAATATTAACCATAATCCACGCCTGGATCAGGATGAGGAACCACCCAGAATGACTCACTCACACGTCTTTTTCTGATCCAGTGAAAAACCGCAGCACAAAACCTGAGCGTAACGTATTATTATTGTAATATTTAAAATAACTGAGAACCAGTTTAAATTAAACTCTGACACACACACACAAAATCTGCTGTTTCATACTGTAGGTGTAACATTTGTCCTACATGAAGTAGCCAATGAAATCTGATCACAGAGAGTTGGAGTCAATCATGAGACAAAAAAGCAGAAACAGATGTTGCTTCATCGCAACTAACAATAAGGCGAAATATTGTGAAATATAAGAAGTGATAAATCATAAGTCAAACTTTTCTAACACAGATGTTCATCATTTAAATTTTAACAACTGCAGTAGAACATGTACAAACATGCGGCAGGTCTGACGCTGACTATCATCAGTTTATTTTTATCCAGTGTTGAGTTGTGTTCTGTTTTGTGTGAACAGGTTTTTTTCAAGCCTAAAATTAAATTTTGAAAAGTAAACCTGACATCTTTAACCAAACTTCACTGAAAACCAGTTTTACCAATTGAAGGTTTACAGCAGATTTGCATCTGTCTGCGTCAGACTTTTTGCTTTTCTTTTTGCAAAACCTAAAGAACATTTCCTTGGAAGGATGACAGCATAAGGCAAAGAAGCAGGTTGTGACTAATGGAAACTCAACTTCCTAAAGCGTTCAGAAACAGACACAGTAGATTGGTTATTTCCAGGAGAAAAACATTTTTTCCCCCAAGTTGTGCTAAATTTGTCTTACAGCTATTTAGCCATTTGGACCTAGTTTCATACATGTACATATGTATAAAAAAACATACACTTGGAAACACAAGGACAATGCAGTTCAGCACAATACGTTTCAGGCCTCTTCGAAATAAAGCACACAAACAAAAAACAAAAATCCCATCAAAGATAGAAACTGCCGACCTATAAATGGAGGTTTTTCTCCATCTGTGTGTAAGTAGAGGACTCATCCCTGAGTCATGTCGCTAATGATATCTTTGTGCCACTTTGTGTGGCGTGATTTAATCCAGTAATCACATGTTTATATCATTGTCTATCATGTGAGCCCCATTCTGTGGTTTGTTACTCTGTGTAGCTGCACTCTCATCCTGAAATCTTTTCAATGTTTCATTTTGTTTAATTAGGCCCTGTAATGAGGAGGAAAACGGGATTGGGACGATTGCTGTGCCACCCTGGCTGTTTGAGCTGCGCCAGTCAAGAAACGTGAGTTCTGTCCTGCATCTGAGAGTACATTAAAAAAGTGAAAGCAGAAAAAAGTACAGAGTCACAGTCATATGAGTTTTAAGAACACGTTTAAGGAACATTTCTAAGTTTTGTTGATCAATTGACTCACTTCATGAAGTTGGTTGCAACTTGTTTATAATCATTTTACCTTCTTTTTTTTAATAAGGTAGAGGTTCGTTTTTTTTGTTGCATGTCATCGGAGCCCTTGATGTGAGGCAGTGGGTGGTCCCTCGGCAGCCGAGGACCACTCCCTCACGCTGCTTCCCTCCCCTGCATTCCCCTCCTCCTGCAAATCAGGAGTTCCACCAACTCCCTGTCCAACCACTCTGCTCAGCCCAGAGGATCTGCCACACACACACTCACTCACACTCACACACTAGCACACAGACAGAAAAAAAGTTAAAATCAACGTAGAGGAGGGAGGGGGAGGGGGAACGCCCTGGAAAGTTGGTTGATCGAGAAATAGGAAAGGAGTGACAGAATCCTAACAGACTGCAAGGCTGTGAGTTGCAGAAGTGCTTTTTCTTGGGCTGGGGAGAAGGGGAGAGACCAAGTTTTCCAGGATGCTCAAGCTGGTGTGAGGCTCCTCGGGCGCGAACACAGCGCACAGGTAAATCTAATTTTTTTTTACCCCTACCACTTAAAACTGAAATCTTTCTATCTGTTGAATTCTGTTTATTGCTGTTTAACATTACTGCAGTTGTTGAAATTCAACTTAAATAAAAAGTTGATGTTGAAAGGACAAAGTTGTAAAAGTTTCTAAACTTTTAGCTTTGGTGTTTTGAGAGTTATTCCAGTCAGCACATGTGTTGAGACTGTGAATCAGTGGCCAGATCACATTGACTTTGTCCTACTTTGCAGCTCCGTCTGGTGTAGTATTCTCTTGTCTTCCATTGAGGTCATTGTGCTGGGGTTTTCACCTGAATTGAATGGAGAAACACTTCCTGTGACTTTTCTCTTTGGCCGTTGTGTTGTGTGGATCATCGTGAAAGTTTAAATGGTGATTTAGTGCTGTGCAGCACACTAGCAGTGGGTGTGTACCACAGCCACCACATGAATGCTGTGAGTCTGGACTGGAGTTGCGCACTTCACTTTTCCATTAGGTGCACACAAAAGCTGTTAAATGAGGTGCACAAAACTGTGGAACTCAAAGTTCCAGAGAGATTTTAGAAAATCCATGTGACATTTTGGAACTTTTTATGGAAGTTTTCACCACTTTTCTTTTTTCGTTATGTAATAGTGCAACACGCTGCCTTTTCCATATACGTTACTTTGAGTCATTGGGATTACAAACTCAGATACTTTTTTTTCAAAAATTGTATTTATCCCAAAAACATTAAAACAAAAGTTTTGATGGGGGAGTTGTTCAGCTATGTGCTCTGACATTGTTGTTGTTGACAGTTTTCTCTTATCAAACATATTTTTGCTTAGACTTGGGTCTTAAAAATATGTGAATATACTTCCCTGATAGACTTTGCAGCAACAGGCTTGGGTGTGGATTCATCTCCTTCACCTCGCCCCACCCCTTTCTTCTGTACTCCCTCCCTTCTTGCTTTGCTGTCTTCTCAGAGAGGCACACCCTTGTGAGCAAAAAAAAAAAAAAAAGGAAAGAAGAAGAAGGAGTCCATACAGGCTGCAGTTTTATTGTGCGTACTGCAAATCACGTTCTAAATGGGTTTCTTCTTGATTGTTGTCTGTTTGGCTGAGAATAACTGACAAAAAAGATTTGTGAAATAAAATGTAAGAAAGTGTCACGTTTAAAAGTGAGTGATTTTTCACAGCTGTTTTTTTTCCCTAGAAAAATCCAAATGTTTTTGCTTTTTTGAAGTCACTAGAAAGAAAGTAGTGGTTTTTCCTTCCTTTTTTAAATTTTGCCTTGGTGGGTTACCTGTGCTAATGCTGAGTGTGTGCAGAGCAGTAGAGAGGCGAAAGGAGGTGAAAGACGTAGGAAGATGGGCGAAAGGAGCCAAGAAATGAGTTAGTAACGGGGGGATGGGAGAATGGGGTGCAAGGAGGGGAGTAATGGAATGTAGTGGTTAGGAAGAACAAGCTAATTGAAACCAGGCTCCAGGCGTAGAGGAGGACGGAAGACTTCACACATTATTGGAATGAGATAAAAAAACATATTCCATGAAGTCCAAAAAGTTTAGACGTGTGTCTGTCCACAGCCGTTTCTGTACGTGCAGCTGGGGCTCCGCGGCATCACGTCACACGTTGAATCTCAACCATGAAGTCTGACATTTATATATTTGTTTGTATTCAGGAAAGAGCAGATACTATCAGCATCACACAGGGTATTTGGTTAGAATCTCACTTGAAAGTCAAATTAGTGTCAGTGTGCAGTTGCCTGTCCTCCACAACTCCCTCCAGCCACACCCAACCGTCACTTCAGTTGTGTGTTAGCTGCTGCGCTCTGCACTGGCCTTTCCATTCTACGTACACACTTCAGACTTGTTTCATGCCATGCAGCTGTAAGGTTCTTGCATTTCTTAAATTGTTCCTGTCAAGGTGATTGATTGTGACACACAGTTATGGACTTTGGGGACTAAAGGTCTTGGGACAGCAGACTGTCGTTTAAGTTTGAGCACATCCTGTTAAGTTTTCCAAGTATTTGAAAGAATGTATAGTTCACTCGCTCAAAGTCTAGAAAATGCTGTTTAAAATACTTTGTAGAACAAATATATATCTTCTATGTCAACTCAGGGAAGCTTGTGAGTAACTGGTTCTTGTTGAGCCAGAAACTTAACTCTGTTAACAGGGCGTCATCTCTGCCTGAGGCCAACACAGTGTATTTACCTATATTGTTGGTTACACTGCACTGCCTTCAGTACAAACACGTCCTTACCTAAAGTGAAGTACGGCAAAAGCCCCAACACTGTGAAGCATTTTCAATATATCTCCTTCAGTCCGTATCCCAGGCCTCTGGGTGAATTTACTGCACGTGACACTTGTGTGACAAACAGCATCTTAACTTGCCCAGAGGAAAGGCACGGCCCACAGGCTGTTTGGAGCCTTAGGTCCAACGTGTCAAAATATTTATCGCAGCTTTCCACCAGCGACACTTTATTTTGTTGCCCCAGTGATTGGCAGCACAGTGCGAAAATGAGTACTGCTCGGCCGCACCAATGTGAAACGGAAAGAAGTCGGTCCCTAGCACACTTCCTCTCTCATTTCCTTAGAGATCTGTGAAGTGGGAAGATGACATGAGTGACAGTATGGACAGTAGACATAGAATTAAAGCTGGACTGTTAAATATCCTTGTGCCCCACCCTTCTAAGTGGTTACAAAACACATCTGCACCTAGAGACGTAGCTGTTCCAAAAGTTTAATTTTCCTCCAGCTGCAAATAAACATCTTAGTGCAGTTTGCGATTTGGAGTCTTTCTAGGCAACCCTCCCAGCAGCCACTCCCTTCTCTTCCAGCTAGTGTTGCGTTGGAATGTTTCAGCATGTCTTCAGCCTGCTCTGTGGAGTGCCTATCATCAGTATTGACTGCCTTGTTGTTGAGAAATAGTGATTTGAGAGGTATGATGAGGCAGTCATCACAAGTTGCACTTAATACCCCTACGGGTCACACCCAGGCACAATGAAACTGTAATGCAAACATGGAATTTAAAAGGGCGTGAATCCCTTTTTTCCGATGAGCTAGCAACTATTGCCAGTGATCAGCCAAATATCTGTTCTAAGATATTAACCAAAAACAATCCTTACATAACTCTTGCTAGTGTTTTCTGTTGAGCATCACACACAATTCTCCTAAGTGTCTGACATGCGGCCTCCACCCCCATTTTACACCCTGCTAAAGGAATGATATGTAGCATCTGTTGCAAAAGCTCACTTTGGAATGAGGGGCCTAAAATGTCAAGGCAGCACGGAATGGAATGTAAATTTAGAAAGACAGCTTTGTTGTTTGGGCTTTCTTTATCTAGCTCCGGATTCTCAGGGTCAGCACTCCTCAGCATTCAACCCTTGAATGATCTTACTACGCTATACTCCCCCTTGTGTTCCTGGGTACTAATTGTAACCACATGTACTGTTGCAAATATGCAGCACCAACAGATTAAGCCAAAAATGTCAAAGTACTGCATATGCTTACAGACCTATAGCTATACATTAGACTATCATCTACATAGACAGTAACATATTCTCTTATAGCATCCATGTAGTTGTCTTCCATGGGCAGTGTTACATTTGTCATTATTCACACAACATATATAAAGGATGGTACAATGAAACAAACCAAATTCCACTTGTTTTTTGTTTTATATTATTATATACAGTGTATATATATGGACCAAATTCCCAAACCAATTTAAGTTTGGCACTTGTTTTTTGTTTCATATTATTATATACAGTGTATATATATGATGGGAGCCATCAGAGTTGTAGTCCTACCTACTGCCTGTCTATGGTTAAATATATACATTTGTGAATAAGAATAGAAGCTGTGACATAGATGGTAGTGAACACGTCCCTCAGCCAGCAGTCCTGCTGCTCTCAGACTAAGAAGAACATTCAATTCACACAAAACCGAACTACACCACTCTGAACAACCTCTGAGTTTGCTTGTATGGCGATTATTATAGTCTTAAAGTCGTTTTTTATTATTTTTTCCATTTGTTGCCCTGATTCCTGCCAAATACACAATAGTTTAATCAGCACCAGGCCAAGTTGGCGTCAGTGGGCAGGCTTTGGTCTTTTGCAGGACTAGTGGTTTGGTTTAGGGCTATGTGGACCACGGAGAGCTGAAAAAAATTATTTTGATGTGCATTCCTTTTGCATCACACATACATGTGCTATCTGCCTTTTTGAGAGAAAAGCAGGCCTGCAGAGGCCCACTGCTTCTATTTTTTTTCTTGTATTTTTGTGCCTAGTGTGTGTCACTAAAGCACAACAAGGGGAAGACAGCCTCTTTTGTTTTGACAACAGGACTGACTTCTGCAACTGATACTGTCTTCAATCCTCTTTCAGGACTGAAGTCTCTTCATTAGCTCAAAATCACTCGGCAACAATGCAGCGTCACATTCACTTGTGATGAAGCTTTAATCATTGTCACACTGCTCAATGTTTTCTGTAGCCCAATTTGTTTGAATGTGGTTATCAGTGAGATTGAATTACTGCCAGAACTTTGATGAATTTATCACATTTTGTGACCTACTTAGGCATAAACAGAGTCTTGTGCCTGTAGTGCAAATAGAGATAAGGCCTGGAGGGCGGAGGGCAGGTTTGGAAATGGATAGGATTAGCTTATAGACTATTGTTTGTTGCACTAACCAAATACCCAGGTGGAGCTAGCTGAAATCATTCTGGCAACAATGGCAAGTCGGACGAGGAACCAGTGTTGTGTTTCATCTCAGCATTCACTCGAGCTATAGAGTGTTTCAGGGCGCCGTTCAGTTTACATTTGTACGCTCTCTTGTTTATTTGAGCAGAACCTGAAGGTGGGAGGTGTTGTGGATGCACTGCAGGAGAGGTGGGCACTCAGGCAGGGTGCAGGGTGGGTGTCAGAGAATGAAGCTCGCATCTGAGAGAAAGAGGACATTTCTTTGGAGTTAGTCACTGTGGGGAGAGGCTGGGCTCTCTTCCAGCTGGCCTGACGGCTCTATCAAGGAATGTATGTGACTGGAGGCCTGGGTGGGGTTGTTCACTAAACTTCTCTCTCAGTGTCTCTTCATCTCTCTTTCTCTCTCTCTCTCTCTCTCTTTCTCTCTCTCTCTCTCTCTGTCTGTAAGATCAGCCATGGTGCATAAACATTGCGTTCTGCTTCAAAGACTGTGTATTCCCACTCCTCGGATCAGGATGTGTTTTTATTTTGCTTCCCCAGTTGCGATGACAACATCCTCTACTGTTGCATAAATGCATGTATATGTAAGGTGGAAGCAGTTATTCTCTGTTCTCAATATTGATGTTGGTTTATTAAGATTTTTAGGCTGTGTTTTATTTAAGTGTTGTCCCTAGTAGTGTGGACATTTAGAGACACACCTTAAGTCTCTTCTACCCAATATCTTACAATTACCTGAAAAAAAAAAAAAAAACACCGACTCAGCCCTGTACCTGACAGACAACTAACATGGCTGTGTGATGAATGCATCTCTGTAACTAGAGTATGGTTTTAGGAGTGTACACAGCTGCTGAGGCATAACACAAACACAATGACACCCGCATACAGGCTGGCATGTATCTCAGCTACGTTCCATCCAGATCAGTGCAGGAGAAACTCAAAGAGACAATCACTAGGCCTCAGCTCAAAGAGCATTTTAAAGACATAGCAATAATGTTATACTGTACTCACTTTCTCCTCTCTGGGTTTAGTGCTTGTCATTGGAATTTAAGACCCGGCTGTTCAGAAAATGTTTTACTGGTTTACAGCACAGTTATTTGGCATCATTTTCGATGCAGTAATGAGCGCTTTAGTTTATTGAACAGGGGGATTCGGGTGGAGGGGGGGTTAATGATGGGGTTGGAAAGCCTTTCCAAGAGGAATTCTTCTGAGAGACAAGTTCCTACCAGTAGTTGCCTGTCTGTACACACATCAAGTCCTCGCCTGTTGTTTCTCAGTGTTACAAAAAGAAGGCTTTGTTTCACAATGTGCCGATGGGTTGAAGTAATAACCCTTGGGATTCTTGGGAGATTTCGGGCCTAAAACTGCCTCTGCTCTCACTGTAAAACTTAGGAACCACATACAAGATACTGTTGCACTAACAATGTTTTATTGTTATATGGCTGCCCGATTATGCCGTTGAATACGGTGGTTTTCCTCTTTTGCACCTGGACGTGAAAGTAATGCCTCAAAGTACTGACTCAAACTAGACTCACTCAGGCCACAGAAGAAGCAACAACATTCAAAGGAGATCGTACAGATGCCGCAGCCTTTTAGAAAACCCTCTTGACATTCATTTGTTAAACAGGATCTTGGTTAAACAATGTGTCACTGTGTCCCTCTCCTCCATCTCCTTTACCTGCAGTTACACCAAAGAAGCATGTGAGGTTATTTACTAAGTGGGAGTGTTTTGCACAATTCCACTATAGGCTCATATTACTGTCAGTGGTTAATATAGAAAGTATATGAAGCTCTGATTCACAGTGTGGCACGATGTACATGTACACAGAAATACCATGGGTACATTTTGGTTGAAACAGTAGAGTAAATACTGTATGTATGTCTGTGGCTCATGTGATGGGATGACAAAGCTCCTTATGCATCCAATACTTGTAGGTCAAGACGTTGTGTACTTATCTGTCCAACATACTGCCTGGATGTCAGCTGTTGTTTTGCAAGAAATGATTACGATTATAAAACAAGAGTTAAAGCTAACCTACGACTTGTGTGTGTGTGTGTGTTTTTTAGCAGATTACAAGAAAGACAAACCACAGCATCAGACTGAAGCCCTTGGCATTGCTTGAGCGGTCCAAGGTGAGTGTCTTTGTAATAAACCATCCTCACGTCACATCAGACCTGAGTGGAGACTATCACCTCAGAACAGTGTGCTGTTTTATGGCCTGATGCCAATGCTCTACTGGAATGTTTGTTGCAAAGCCCCCTCTGGACCTGGAAGGTCACACCACTGTCATTCAGCCGTGAAAGAACTGCCTTGTGGAAACCTGACACTTTGCTGCTTTTGCTCCCCGTGCCGCCTTTTTACACCCCTCCTTCCTTTCCCAAGTGACCACCTGTTCTGCTCGAACCCCTGTCCACTTCTTATGAAACAACTATGTGACACCAAACGTAGCAGAGGGCGGATTGTTGTCACATCGGTATCCAAATGTTAATTGCGTGTGTTTTTCAGTGAAGAGATATTTAAAAAGGAAACATCTGCTGCCGTACCTTTTCCAGTGCAGTGAGGGTCTATAGCAGGGGTTTAATTCAGAAATGCTCTGCGGCTACAGTGTAGTTAACAAAGGCTTGGTCTTGTTGGCGGTCCCTCTGTGTACCTTAGCTCAGCACACATGCCAGAACAAAATAACTTTTACTGTGTTAGACCTTCAAACGAGCTCGGGTGAAGATTCAAGGATGTGGAGTTATCGTTCACAGACAAGAAAATATACAGAAATGACAAAAACACAGACAAAAATAATCAGACCTAGACTGTAGCCTGGTTTAAGATCCCACAATCTATATCTATTCATTAATTTGAACTCCTTCCACAAAGCCTTTTACTGCACCTCGCCCTCAACCGCTGTCTTTCTTTCTTTCTTGCCCACTTTCAATTTTTTAAAACAACTTCCTCTTCTTTCCATGCCCCTCCGTCCCCCTTCAAAGTTCCTTCCTTCCCCTTCATATTTCTGTCAATTAGCATTCACCACCCCTCACCCACTGACTCGTAGCTTGTTGTTAGAAATATGTACACGTTTTAAAAAGCAAAGATACCCTAATAACTTTGCTCAGACAGACTAATGTCAAGGAGCCCACTCAAAGGTCTGAAGAAGTAAATAAAGGCGACAGAACTTGATGGAGTAGATTTTGATCAATATCGCATTTTCACAAACTGTCACAGTGGTTCTATAAAAGGGTAAAGATAGTGTAAAGGTTAGGTCTTGACGGAATCCATAGCATTTGTGAAACCCACATTAAGGCTTGAAACCCATTACCTTTGTGATACAAACCAAATTCAGAAGATCAGTGTTGGGTCCATAACAAAAACTAAAAGCTTGTCCCAATGTTTCATGGTCATACATGAACTTTGTGTTTTAATGAATGTGTCATTTTCAAAGGTGTGTGTGTATGTTCCTTTGTAGACAAAACCCTTAGGGTTAGTTCAATCTAAAAATAGTGTCAAATGGACTAATGAATGGACCTAAAACTATCATGCTGCTGTGACTTCAGGAGAATGTTAAGGTGTGAATGGATTCTGGATTCTGGAAGTCACGAGAACCTGCCAAATATGGTTTTAGAGTGATAGCTCAATTTAACCTCTGGGCATTAGAATACATTTTGTAGTATTTCATACAGCACCTGCCTTCAATTGCAATCAATTGTTTATTCTTTGGTATGTGTCCTTGAATTTAGTCCAGCAAACTAGAGAGACCAGTTTTTGTATGGCTTGTCATTCCACGCTGTGTTTCATTATGCTCTCTCCTACACTGTGTGCAATCCTTCAGCACTGACATACTGTTGTACTATATGTTGTTTATGTGCTCACACAAAAATGCAAGGATGCACACACCCATAAATGCACATGCGTTTTGCACTGTTTAGTACTACGCTATCACCTTCAATAAGGTCAGGTAGAGAGGATTAAGTGAACCATGTAATCATTTGTTGAGGTGAATTGTGGTGAATTGTCCCAGGTCTTTGTGGATCTTTGAACCGACAAACTGTTTTTGAGTAAACAGATGAATCAATTGGTTCCAGTAGTTTGCAAAAATATTTTGAGCAAATGTTCAAAGAATGCAGTGTAAAGCAACAAGGAACGTATTGTTGATTACTGTATATAATAGTTATGATTGTTTTGGAATTTGAGAATTATTTTAACAATAAAGTATTAATAGAGAATGGTGTGGTATAGCAGCTCAATAGTAGGTCTGAGAAAAATAACCCATAAAATACCCAAAAAAAGAGAGTAATATGGTAAAAGATGAAGTTCATAAAGGAAAGATAAAATGTCTGTACATAAACATAAAATAAAATGAATGAGGTTCTATGATAAAAATTAAATACAGGCATCTGTGTACACACAGACATATTTATGCTGAATACTGACAAACTGACTTTTTTCAAGAGCAATGTTGCTTCAACAGTTATTGTTCACTGTATTTGATATTTGAGCTGGGGTATAGGTACAGGATCAGACTGCTTCTCCCCAGGCAGGGTGTGGTCTAACTCCAACTCCAAATTTCTAGTGCAAAGAACACCAAGAAGGAGTGAGAAACTTGGCAGCATATCCTGTGTTTTCTTACAGAGTTGTTACACCATCTAGTGACTTCGAATGTGTCCTACAAGGCAGTAAAATGAGAAAATGTCAGATAATAGTAGAAAGGGTTATTTAATGATGTGTTTAATAATATGATATAATAATATAATAATGTGTTTTCTTCATGTAGGAAAACCAAGGCTGAGTTTCCATCAAACCTGGGTTAAATAGAGGAAACACAAAAAAAGGTAAAGTCAGTGTCTTGTAATTATTTTAGTGCGTGTATGTGATTATATATAATATATGTATGTATTTATATATATTTTTAAATACATTGTTTACAGATGGCTGAAGAAGAGGAAACAAGGGAAGTTCTCTTCCCAGACTGGGAAGGTCCTGACAAAACAGGCTTGACGATTGAACAGACAACTGAGGGGGATATCTATGTGAAGGAGGTGAAAGGAGAGTCTCCTGCAGCTCGATCTGGAAAAGTATATGAAGGTGGTTAATTTTAAATTACTATGTTTTTACCAGGGCTGTTAAAATTAAACACGTTAAGATTATTGAAGATGAATCTATTTCAAAATTTTAACACATTTTAAATATGGAAGAATGAACTGTGAGATGAGATGAGAGAGAACTTGATACAGGTTATTATTATTTGCACACACTGCAGGAGCTTGAAATACCACACCCTCCATTCAGACGTGTCAGTCCAGTCAAGCACAGGACAGTAAACAGGTCTACAGCTGTCAAGCTGAGTGACACACTAGTCATATTGATTGGGAGGGGCTGCAGACCAATTACTATTGTTGAGGACAACGGTTTCATATTCTACAAACCACATGTAAAACGCACAGTAATAACAATCCACCAACTCCATGAAGAAAAAAATGCACATAGCATGTTATGGTAGGATTCGAGTCATACTTTAAGTTATAGAACAAATGTGACTATTTTTCTGGACATTTTTCCATCCATCCATCCATTTTCATCCGCTTATCCGTTACCGGGTCACGGGGCAGCAGCCGCTGCCCAAATCACACTGCACCGTACCGACCCCCTGAACCTTCCTGCAGGTGGTGAGTCCACTGGAAGGTACCAACCGCCCTGACTGTGATTTGAACTTGCCCAGGAGGCAAATCCTGGGGTTCCACACCAATGACAGAGACATTGCCTCTGGGCCAAAGCACCACTGACATTTTTTCATTTTATTTATTTAATAATTTGGGTTAGTCACACATAAAAATAGGTGTGTAACACAGACATCTACCAGCTGTTATATTTTCATGTTCATTCTATCTAATTTACAGATTTTTTTTTGTCATCTTAAGGAAAAATTAACAATGATTAATCATGATTAATTTACAGCTACCCTGTGATTAACCTGAATAGAAAGTTTAATCGATTGACAGCCCTACTATTTCACATACAGTACAAATTTAGGATTTGCTCAAAGTGGCACCTGACACAGTTTTTAACGTACACTTGTTTTTTTTCTCTACAGGTGACCAGATTGTTGGTGCCACAATCTATTTTGAAAACATGAGTTCAGAGGAAACCGCTGAGCTACTGAAGACATTGAATCGTCACAAGGTTGGACTGAAACTTCAAAATAAAGGAGACAAATCCCCTCTGTGCTCACCTTTGAGCACACCATGCCGTTCCCCAATGGGCACTTTGACGTGGGAAGGGAAGACTCGTTTTGGAGGTTCCAGTCCAGACATCATCCTGGTTATTATTATTTTTAAATATATATATAGATATAGATCTTTATCTATATCTATATATATAATCAGTTTTTAGAACATCTACTGAAACAAACCACATAAATAACTGACTACCTTTTCTGGTGTTTCTGTCCACAGAGTGGAGATGATGAGGACTACAAGAGAATATACACCAAAAAGATCAAACCAAGGCTGAAGTCTGAAGATCTTGCAGAAGGAGTAGATGTTCGTACAGAGCGCCACAGCAGCACAAGCAGTGATGGCAGTACAATTACTACAATAACTCGACGAATCACAACCTACACAGTGGATATGCCAGGTGGCATAAGTGAGGAACTTGAACTTTCAACCCCAGAGTTTAAAGGATTAATGCATGGGTCCGGAGATGTTTCTCCTCGAATAAGAACATCTATCAGCCGATCAGGTAAAGAGGGAGAAGAGGAGGGAGTATTTGAGTCAAGTAAAGAGCCACATGTTAGCTTTACAGAAATACGATCTGGTGGTGGAGGGGTCAAGACCTCGATCACAAGAGAGACAGAAAAAGAAACAAGCACAGGTCTGAGAATCAAGGGGCCAAACATTGGAATCACAAGTAGTGGACAGCGAGATTTGGAGATTTCAAGAGGGAATGTAGAAAGAGATGGAAGCATTCAAATATCAGAAACGAACCTCAGTCTAAGAGACAACACAAAGGCTGGGGGCAGTTATTTCACAATAGGAGGATTGGGAGGTGTAGCAGCAAGCAGTGAGAACACCAGTGGTTTTCCACATGTAAAAGGATCATGTAAAACCGATATGAGAAAAGGAACACCAGAAGTAACCATAAGCAGTGTTACCTCAGGATTTTCCTCAGTAACAGGAAATATTTCTTCGGCAGGTGGGGGTGTAACAGTCCCAAACTCTGAGAAAGGTCAAGCTGTAAATACTGATGTCAAAAGCAAAGGATCAAGAGATGAATTTGAAATACAAAAAATCACAATGCCATCCTTTGACATTAGAGGTCCAAGGCTTGAGTGTACAGATGCTAATATAAAAACTGAAATGAAAACATCTGCTGTTGACATAAAAACACCAGAGCTTAATCTTGATAGTGAAAATGTAAAACTAGGAGAGAAATTCAATTTGCCAACAACAAAAGGACTTTCTATTTCAGGTAAAAGGGACATAAAAATATCTAATGTGGACATCAAAGGCCAAAAGGACGATATTGAAGGCCAAACAGCAGGGCTTGATACAACTAAAATCAAAATAGAATCCTCTAAAATTACAAGAACAAAAATTGAGACTAGCACTGATGTCAACATAAAAGGACCAGATGTTCACACAGACAGCAGCAAAGGTGGATTTAAAATGTCACAAATAAAAACTTCAACATTTGGCATAAAGGGTCCAAAAGTGGACACGAACCTTCCTAAACATGGCATTGATGTAGATGTTACTAACATTAAGAGTCAGCCATCAGAGCTCTCACTGTCAGGTGCTAATGTTGATGTTTCAGTTCCAAAAATTGAGGCACAAATAAAATCATCCGATACAGATGTAGCCAACATTGATGTTAAACTTTCTGATGTTTCCATTAAAACACCAGATCTTAACATTGAAGTCCCAGATGCAAAACTGAAAGGGCCCGAATTCACTATGGGCCCTAAGGTCTCAATGCCAGACGTGGATTTGAATCTAAGGGGTCCCAATGTTAAAGGGGAAGTTGACGTGTCAGTTCCAAAAATAGAAGGAGAAATAAAAACATCTGACATTGACATCAAAGCACCAGATGTTGATATTAAAGGGCCAAAAGGTGGATTTGAAATGCCTAAGATAAAGATGTCCACTTTCAACATTAAGGGTACAAAAGTAGAGGGTCCAGATGTTGATGTAAATCTTCCTAAAGGAAACATTGATGTGAATTTGCCTGAAATTGATTTGAAAGCTCCAGAAATTGACATTGAAGGAACCAATGCAAAACTAAAAAGTTCAAAACTTGAGATGCCAGCCGTAAAGGTACCAAGGTTTCCACACAGTGATCTCAATCTTACAGGTCCTAAAATAGAGGGAGATGTGGATGTTTCAGTTGCAAAGATCAAAGGTGACATTCAAGCACCAAAAGTGGACATTGAAGGACCAGATGTTGACATTGAAGGCGTTAAGGGTGGATTCAAGATACCTAAATTTAAACTTCCATCATTTGGCCTCAAGGGTCCAAAAGTTGAAGGCCCCGATGTAGATGTTTCTCTTCCTGAAGGCAATATTGATGTTAAACTGCCGGAAGTTGACATTAAATCACCTGAAGTTGACATTGAAGTCCCAGATGCAAAACTGAGAGGGCCCAAATTCACCATGCCAACAATTTCAGGTCCAACGGTATCAATGCCAGATGTGGACTTGAGTCTAAAGGGCCCAAGAGTTAAAGGAGATGTTGATGTGTCAGTTCCAAAAATAGTGGGAGAAATTAAAACAGCCGACATTGACATCAAAGCACCAGATGTTGATATTAAAGGGCCACAAGGTGGATTTGAAATACCTAAGATGAAGATGCCAACTTTTAACATCAATGGTACAAAAATAGAGGGTCCAGATGTTGATGTAAATCTTCCTAAAGGAAACATTGATGT